GACATAAAACAACGTTCGGGGAAATTCCTACTGGGTCAGTAGGTATACTTCCACAGATTTTGAGCCGAGAGCTGAGCAATCAGAGAGATCCTCATCAATGCTAATATAAATGTTGCTGGAATTTAAGGGAAGCTCATTGTCCAATCAAGTCGCTAGCTACTGATGAAAAAATTATATTCAATTTCACGTTTCGGCACAAAAGCTACTGAAGAATTAGACGTTACCCAGTTAAAGATGATAGCGAGGTTGAGAGGCTTTTCTGAAAAAAGACAGGGCGTTGGAGGGCGTAATACTATCTAACGGGAGATTGCCATGCTAATAAATATGCGTTATTAATCAAGCATGAGATCAAGATGGCTGGATATTGGCCAAGTTCTTTTATTTGAATTGTTATGGACCGAGAAGAAGTCGGGGTCCATAAGAATGCGAAAAATGAACGAGGCTAATATCCAGCCATCTTGACTGAACAAGCTTGGTTAATAAAAAATTTATTATATTGCAAAAAGATTTCGCTCTATTAAGAATTGAGAAGGACTTGTTTATTTCGAGAGCTCAATGTGTAACCAAATTGCTAGCTACTGATCGAAAAAATCATATTCAATATTATCTTTTCGGCACAAAAGCTACTTGAGAATGAAACGTTACCCTCTTATAGTTGATCACGAGGTTGACAGGCTTTTCTGAAACAAGATGTGATGATTGCCGGACATCTACCAAAACTCTGACAAGGCGTCGGAGGGCGTAATACTATCTAACGGGAGATTGCCATGATGATAATAAATATCCATTATTAACAAAGCGTGAGGTCAAGATGGTTGGATATTGGCCACGTTCTTTTTTCGCATTTTTATGGACTGAGACGAAGTTGAGGTCCATAAGAATACGTAAAAAGAACGAGGCTAATATCCAGTCATCTTGGCTGAACAAGCTTGGTTATTTAAGGATTTATTATATCGAAAAAATATTTCGCCTCATTAAAAAATTGAGAATGACTTGCTTATTTCGAGAGCTAGGAAAGAAAGCCAACCGTGTTTGTAGCACAACAAACGCACGAGTTTAGTTTCTGTTTTCTTTGTTTTGACTATCTTCTGCCGCTTGTTGCGTTTCCATCGTCGAAATTGCACAAGAGTTACAAACGTAGTTCTTATTCTATCTTTTTTTCACGCGCGGGATCAATGCGGGTAATCCCAGGCGTGCAAGATGGGCCCATCTTACCCGCTCGGGTAGCCAATCAGAACACAGGATTCGCTGCATCTTGCCCACGCGCGCTGCGAGCGATGTCACGGTAATAAATGAGATTTAAACTAGGGTATCTAAAAGATAGTAATGCAGCGGTACATTCTGTTGATAGTGACATAGTTTAAGCAGTGATTCATCTACCTGCGCGTTCTAAGACTTACATTGAGAAACATATCCCTGAAGTTATTTTCTGCAGGAGACAAAGTTTACCCAAAAACAAAGAATATAGTGCGCGCATAGAAGAAAAATATTGCCAAGCTGTAGAACGAATATTCAGAAGAAGTTGTTAAACGTCAACGCGATGTGCCTTGGCTAAACTCAGAGTTGAAGAAACTTTTTACGCAAGTAGCGAAGGCTCTAAAATTTTTTGCATTTTTCATTTGAAAAGGAAGCGAAGAAATGTCTGAACGAGCCTTGCTCAATTTTTATCGGATAATCAGCCAGGTTCGAAGTCAGTTCTGGATAAGCGGGTAAGGAAGCAGATTTTCTCGTGAGGCAATCAGAATCTCTGTGGGTGTCAACTCGAACTCTGCGGCGACATAACAGTAAACCAGTTTCAGGAATTAGAATAGCCCATTTCCGAATTACCCTTCGCCTCTTTTTCAAAACGAGGCCTGGTAGTAAATGTCAATTTCCATGTCACTGACCCTCATTGTCATTGTCACCTTTATTGTCGGTCATTATCATAGTCGTTATCTTTATCCTCAATGAATGGTAATAGATTTTGCAAAAAATTTCAATGAAAATACATATTACGCGTGATGCGAAGTTTCGTTGTCTCTTCATATATTACTTTAAAGAAAGTAATTTTTGAAGTCGTAAGAACTCAGTGTCAGAGATAGAATTTGTAAACATTACGTGAAGAAAAAGAAAGTCAAAATAACTTAAAAGTACCATTCACTTACCAAAAGTAACAATTTCCCATACTAGCACTCCAAACGACCAACTTAAGAAAGAAATGAAATTTTAGAACATTTTTTGGCTTGCAAAGTGCTTTTGTGGATAATAAATAACCAGCTAGTTTTTTTGGGATACGTACAGCACATCACAAAAGGCACAGTTTAAAATCCATCGATTAAAGATAAGAGAAGTTGTACGGTCGAAATACCACCGAGAAAGAAATGACATGTCAGGTAGGATATCAAATGTAGCAGACGTCAAATTCACAACGCTAAAAAAAAAAAAAAACCACAGCATCACAGAAAAAAATATAATGTCACAGTAATATTAAAGTTACTTGAACTTACACATCACTTTTGGAGGTGTAAACTCTGTCGATTAATGCCTCAAGCGCCATCCACTTGACAGGAAGTCTTCCCTAAGAAAGGCGAGCATAGAGAATATTTAGTAAACGTGTGTCAAACTTAGGAATGTACCATTTTTATGGTTATTAAACCTTATCTCCAAATGACTGGATTAACATTTGGTCCGAGCTAGGTGAAGATCTGTGTCATTCTAAATCTAAGAACAACAGCAGAGAGATACATCACAAGAGGACCTAGGATATATGATAATGTGTTGCAGTAAAACCATGTTAACGCTTTTGTCAAATGTATCCTTTGTAGAAAGTACTCAGAACACGATAAGACAACTCGGTGCCAATAACAGCGGTCAGCCATAGATTGTGTATTACGATCATCGAGGCGAGAACAGTCCAAAAAATGGAATGTTGTCGGTAACATCCACTGACGCGTTGACAACCTGCGCAGACATCGTAATCTACATGTAGCAGTTGCTGCGTGACGTGGGAGGTTTTCGAATGGTCTCAACAGCCGTTGATGAGACGCCCTCACTGCAATGGATTATGGACCTCATTGTCATGCTGAATTATCCATAGACAAATCTAAAGACATTACGAGGGGTGGGCCCACCATTATTAGGGCAATCCTCCAAATGCCAGAAGCACAATGTCAATATTTGATGACAATAAAACAAAATAAATGCTGGCAATTATGTATGAAGCAATCATACCTCATACAACAACACTCAATAGGAATCTGTTGGTCGCGACAATGTTACAAGTGTTTGTACGGGCCACCAACACGAACAAGTCGTTTTCCATAATGCGCATGCAATTATTTCCTTCCGACTCGAAACATTCCGTTTTCGAGTGATTTGCATCATAAAAGATACATAGTCGTATCAAGGCAGCTCGTACTTTCTTCTGACGCATTTTTAGCTTGATAAGTGCTAAGTCTTGTTTCGGCGATATTATTTGGACATTTTGAGCCGGTTATTCAAACGAGGTCTAACCCAAACTGCAGTTTTAAGCAAGCCATGGGTCCCAGGTATCCTTTATAAGAGGGTTGATTTAACTACATAAATGTCTTTCCACTTTTAGCTTTCGGACCTTTTGACACTGCTTACAAGAATAAATGTTTAGGTTAAAGGTTTGGTTGAACTGAAGACAGTTTAGAACAGAGTTTTGTTAAACAACGGCCAAATCTAGTTTAAATAACCAGCCCCAAATATTCCTTCTCTGCTACCAATAATCTTACGTCTGTTGTTTTCCGATAATAGTCATCATCCCGCACGTTCCTCGCAAGACCAAAATCAGCAATTTTCATGACGTAGTCTTCGGCTACCAATATATTTCGTGCTGCCAAATCTCGATGAATGCACTAGTAGAGACAAAGAAACAAATACAAGTCACGAGTTAATANTGGACCGACTGCATAACCCGTGAGAAAGTTATGCGAACATGAAAAAACCAAACAAAAACAAAACAAAAAACAAAACAAAACAAAACAAAAAAACAAACAAAAAACAAAAAAAAAAACATGAAAATATGAAAACACATTGGCTCCTTATTTCAATTCAATGAAAACGTAACCAAACAAGAAAGATTATTCAGTACCTTTCTAGATGACAGAAATTCCATTCCTTTTGCTACTTGATAAAAAAAAGACATTAGATCTTGAAGAGTAAGTTGCTCTGGAGAGTGGTAATCAGCGTCATCAGCGTACTCCAACCCAGGTCTTCTTTCTTGAAGGAACTGCCGGAGGTTGCCATGAGCTGCGAATTCTACCACTACAAATAAGGGACCTGGGAAGCAAAGCAAATGACGCCAGGTTAAGCGAAAACTATGCTCCTGCTCTTACGTGACGATATGGTTGATATCAAACAGACTGACGAGCAAAGTAATTAACCAGTGGAAGGAAGAAGAGATGGTAAAAGATGTCTGTCTGATTATGCGACTCTGACTGGAAATTGGAGTTGTGTAAAAGTCAAGTTTCAAGCACGCGTCTTACGTCGTTTTTCATGTTTATAGCGAAAGACATGTCTTCAAGAGCGTGTCGGTTATGTTTACCAAACATGAAACTTGTAGAATGGTAACTTCACGACATGATTAAAAGAAAAAAAAAATGAATTTAACCTCTGAAACCTTTGACCCTTTAGAGAAACTATCATCTAATTTCTCTTACAGTATCACCCCTGAATCACAAGGTCGCAAGAATAAGTAATATAATAATAATAATAATAATAATAATAATAATAGCAATACGGTATTTATATAGCGCTATTTCTATCACTATTCAATAGCGCTGTACAGTAGTGTTATAGATCACACCGATACAATTTATAGAACGTAAAAAATCTCTGAAATATGAGTAAAAGAAACTAACTAATAAGGTAATCTGTAGTAATGAGGGTAAAAACTGTAATTTATAATGAAATTAACTAATTTACTAGCTAACATTTACTGCATTACTAGCTAACTGACCAGCTGATTAACTAATGAACTAATTTACTAACCAACTATCTAGCGACCTAGCTAACTACTTAAATAACTAGTTAACTCCCTAAGCAATAGTCTAATTGTAAAATTTGTTAAAAAGGTATGTCTTTATACAGGTTTTAAAATCTGATAGCGAGCCACTCTCTCTTATGTTGTTCGGAAGAGAGTTCCATAGAGTCGGCGCTACAATAAATAATAAAAGAGATGATATCACAAAATCAAATCAAATAATAAAAGAGATGACATCAACTAAAGGAGCGCTTGATAGCAAGACAAATTCTCCTTGTCAATCAATACCTTAGGAAATGTATAAAGAACAGTATGGAGAGTATACAAACTGATGTGAGGATGTAAAGGCTTAGCCAGAGGAGAACATTACCTTCTTGTGTACACACTCCCAACAAGTTGATGATATTCTTATGTTTTCCTATTGTCTTCATCACTTTCATTTCGGACACCAAGTCCATCAACTCCTGATCCGTTGCATCCTCTGTAAATCATAACGACACGTAATGAAATTATTCTAATTCTTACATCACGACAATCATCGGTATGAGCTCTACAATTACCAAAAACATTATGGCTGGGAGGTAAAATTAAATTTGCAATTCATCCATTTAGAAGAATAACGAAAGGTCTGTAGAAATGTTCTGCGCATTGCCCTACATGGTAAGGAGGGAGGGGGGATCACAGTGAAGCACCCTCGATAGTAGGATGTGGTCGAACGGGTAAAGGTAGTCCTCAAAAGGACTGTTAAGCGCTGGTGGGAAATAATACTAATACGTCGTTATTTCTCATGATATAAAAATACAGATCCTGTGTTACAACACAATCCTATAAAGATATCCTCAAAATACCTGAAAAGCGGGCAAAAATCGGCTCGCTTATCACCTATACTAAATCAAATTTAACTTTTAGCCTTTTAACAAGATAAGACTTATAACCCTCAGTATCAAGTTTCAGGCGTTCACTTTGTCCGATATGGAGAATATAAGAACGGTCCATTTTAGTAGGGAAGTATACACCGACAGGATGGTGACCGTCTATAGATAAAATTGGACAAAACTAGAGAAGTTAACAAATGATCTATCTCCACCTGAGTGTATTGCTCACTTCTAAGGGTAGTAGCGATTGATGATCATTCGACACCTGAGTAGAAGTCATCATTAGAGCCAAGCGACTGCCTTTTCTCTTGGCGATTCTACAAAAACCCAGCATGACTGAGTGAGGCCTCAAGACAGGTCCCCTCACTTACCTTTAAGCATTTTCACAGCTACAGTACAACCCAGCCCAACAGCCTCTGCTCTTATAACTCGTCCAAATGCTCCTTCACCGAGTATGTCAGAGAGAACCAACGAGAATCTGTCAATCTCCCAAGCTTCTTCGTAGGGCACTTCAATGTCTGACACCTAACCACAAGGCAGAGAAAAATTAAAAAAAAAAAAAAAACTCGAGATGTGGGGCGAGGGACAAGGACGAGAACATTCACATTCAAAACAAAACAAAACAGGCTCACACCGAGTGAAAGGGAAAAGCATAAGTACGAATTTCAGCCGTCAATAACTCTTTCCACGAGCAGCTGCTAATAGTGTGATGGGAGAAAAGGGGCCGCTTGGTGAAACCAAAACATGAGAACCTGCTAGGAGGCTAAACAGATGGTAAGAAGTTTTATGAGGCGGTAAAAGACCGCTGGCAAGTGTCTTTTGTTGAAGCCTCCTGCCCGAACAACCCTGACCTGTGTTAACCTCGATTCCAAGCGACCGCGAACGCTCCTTTGACGCATCAACGAAAGCGCTGACGCTGTAGAAGAAACAGACGCCGTTCTTGGAGCGAAGCGTTGTGATTCGATGGCAACACCTTCTCTAACCGCGTCGTATTTTACATCTGGAATATCTACGTTGAAACGCTTATTGCGCTTTCTCAAGCGCACACAATACCATACTGCACAGATGATCAGTAACAGTGTGAGGAAAACAGCGCCGACGCTGAACAGAACAATCTCCAACGTACTTAAAATCGGGGGAGGACGTGTTACATCTCTTACTGGAGCAGCGCTTTCTGTATCTGCTTTAGTTGGGACCGACGGTGTACCTGAAGATGACACAGTAAAAGTTTTGTTTACAATGAAAAACAGTGAAAAGGGGGCAATCTACGCTCGAGCCAACCGGTCAGTCCAGCCGGAGTTTATCCCAATAACTACAGCATAAAGCGACCACGAGTATTGCCACTCCTCTACATGAGATGTCATCGCAAAGTTCCCCCCCCCCCACACACACACATTCGCAGGGCTTCTATTACATTTCCTTGTACTCCAAGGGAGAGGGGTACTTCCAAGTAATAGGCTAATGGGGATGTGCCGCTGAATGGGTCCGATTTTCACGACTGATTATAAGGGGTTATATTTTCAACAGAGCTACTAGAATGGGGTCGTACATCTTCAGGATTTTGGGGGTAAGAAAAATTCTGGTAAGTAGAGATTTAAAAATGGGAAGTTTCGTGGTTAAAAAGTTGTTATTGTCTTCTTTAGAGATTATGGGATGACCTCAGACTAGACTATAATGGGGTATGGAGTTTGAGGGGCAAGTAGAAAATACCCAGCAAAAATTGATCCCAGATTCCACCCCATCCAAAGGTGTGGGGAGGGGGGGCTGTATGCATCTATACTCCTGGGTGGGAGAGGCAGGGGTGAAGTGGGGGCTGTATGCATCTATACTCCTGGGTGGGAGAGGTAGGGGTGAAGGGGGGGGCTGTATGCATCTATACTCCTGGGTGGGAGAGGCAGGGGTGAAGGGGGGGCTGCATGCATGTATACTCCTGGGTGGGAGAGGCACTGTGAGAGTTAAGTGTCTTGCCTAAGAACAACAGGCCAGGTATCGAGTCCGGAAACCAGCGCACGAACCATAAGGCCACCGAATCAACCATTGAATATTGGTAGTTTGGGTCCATTTCTCCCGTGCCGCTCCCTGATCCTTTTAACCCTTTACCTCCTATGAGTGATCAAGACAGAATTTCTCCTAACAATATCATTACAATACCTAGCAGAAAAGTGATGAGAATAAGGACAATTATCAACTGGGGGATTACTACTTGATTTAATACCAAATTCTCCACACTCACCTCATACGAATTGTATGACATAAAGTAAGGAGAGTTACTAGTGCGATCTTCGGAAGGAGAGGGGTTGACTGAGAGTCTAGAACAGGTTTCTAATATAACTTA